GGGGATCCCAGCAACTGTTATATTCATGGATGTGCGTGGGGTCCCTCGACACTTTTTGAAGGATTTTGTCATCATCCCACCACAGGTCAGATGTTTGTGTTTACGGATCATATTTCCAACTCAGTAATCATGTCTCTTGTGTTTTTTTTTTTTTATTAATTTTTATTTAATCTTTTATCTGGAGAGGCAAGTTACAATTACTTCGTAAAGACCAGCTAGATGGAAGTATGAGCAGGAATAACATCAGCCAATCCAAGATTTTTGTATAATAACGGAGCATTCATAACAGAAGAGATGGTTCTAGTCTGATTTTTCTTATATTAGGGGAAAAACACAATCAGAAACAACATTTTGCAATCTCCCTGAGCCAGAGTGCAAGACACAGCACAACAGAATTTACATGTGAAAGACATATTTAGTCCAAAGAGATTTCTGATTTTACATAGTTTGTCCATTTAGAACAGAAAAACATTCTCCAGAATGTAAATGTCCCTTACAAGATTGACCCAGTCCTTAACTGCAGGAGCTTCAGGCTTTCATGTTTCTTGTTTTGTGAACAATTTTAGTTGTCATGAATCTTTTTTAACTGGCCTATCGACTTCCTTTTTGTTTTCTTGTAGGCTATTAAATGTCGACTGGCTGACCTCCCTATTCCAGAAGAAGGCTGGAGTCATGAAGACCTTTTGTTGTTGAAGGAGACTGTTGTTGGAGCAAAGGAGCTCAAAATGAAGGTAGGATTGGTTATGGCATTAAAGAACTGTGGAGCTACGACATAGCAGTATAAAATGGAAATGAACCAGCAGGTGAAATTATCAACAACATCGTGCCCCCAAAGTCCCTAGACCAAACCAGCTTTAGATACATCCTGCAAGCTTTTTGGTTAGATAGGGGGTCCCATCCAGGGAAGAAACAGTGAAACTGACCGTTTACCACAAACCTGCTCTAAGAATATGAGCGTTTGAAGCCAGCCCCCATGGTGGCTTTGTCTGGTCAAACTTATCAGTTTAACCAGCTAAAAAACTGGCAAGTTTGTGCTTTTAACCAACAGTAGATAGATAAATGATAATAGAAAGTAAATACTTAAACGCCAAAACTTTGTGCTGGTCTAGCTGCTGTGAAAATGTCTTTTTTTTTGGGGGGTCTTTTAACTCTGTTGTCGTTATACTTTTGTTTCAGATATCAAAAGTAGAAGAGTACAAAGGAGAAAAGGTGATCTTCATGCATCTCTTTGATGGTCACAGTCAGGAGTTACACCAAAGCCTCAACCATCAGCTCAGGGAGAAAGTTTTATCAAGGGACAAAAACGCAATCCCTGCCTCTGACGGCAACGCTGTGGACACGGGTAATACGGCACACCTTCCCATTTAATCCAACTTTACTTTGTACTGCCTTTGAAGTTTTTATGTTCTGTTAGATCTCACTGCTCTAATGGAGAGGTTGAACCTAAGCAGCCCGGTCCTTAATCCCATCATCAATGCCTTGCCTGTACTACAAGGTGAAGGTGTTGCCATGGCACCTGGAGTGCAGCCACTAATGTTACCCCCTCCACTGGACCTTCCCCAGGTGTGTAACAGAGCCTCTGTTAACATGTGAGGATATTTAATACAAGCATGAATGTAAACTTGAATAATTTGTTTCGATTGGCATCTAAACCTGATTTGGCTGGAAAGAAAAAATTAGATATAATTTCACTCAACTATGAGGAAGTGATGGTTAAAAACTATTCAGACAGCTTTACATCCAAGTAGCTGAATGCTGTAGCACTTCAGTTAATTAAAACCTGCTTTAAGTGGGGAAGTATTACTTTAATAGTTTTATTTATAATATATGGGATCAATAACTGTTGAATGAAAAGTTGCTAACAGTTAAAGTTGGGTGTCGGGTAGGTTTGCAAACGCATTAACTGTTTGCACCATTCTCATTGGCTTTGGAACCTCGCATTAGTCTTGAGTTCTTTTTAACCATGTTTTAACCATTAAGGGTAGGTTGCTCTCTTTTTGTGTGTTTTCTTTAAATCTACACATCTGAGGTCTGATTGGGAAAAAGTAAAAAAAAAACAAAATATATTAGAATTTTTTTCTGTATTTGTATCCCACCCTGGTGTTTTGATACCTACTTTCCTCTTCGACCTGCATAAACCACCTGCTTGTTCTTATCAGAGTATCACTAAGACTGGTTTTATTTCAATTTTGGTGGTTTAAATTGGATATTTTATGAGAAAACTTTGTAATATAAAAGTCGGTATTGAAAGTGTTTTGATTGGCTACCTTTTTCAATGAGTCCATCGCTAAATGTTTTGTACAACAGTGGTTCTTTCATCGGGTCCAGCAACACCCTTCATTCCTTGTTTTTATGCAGGTTAATATTAAGTCAATCCGCTGCAAAAAATTTTCTATAAATTGATAGCCTGATAAACCAGACTAAATGTGAGATTAGATGTGTAATTTAGTCTGGCCCCGATGAATGAGACATCGGAAGATTGTTGAGAACAACCCGTTGTTTTTCAAACCGCTGTCTGTGCCTATTGGCCAACGCTCTGACCAATGAGCGCAACTGACTGTGACGTAGTAAGTGCAACAGAAAGCTGGTGGGGGAGCGTAAACAAACAGTCTGTCGGTAAAACGGCGAATGCATCCTTTAAAATGAACGAGCGTAGAGCCTCTTCCTGCACACGTTTCAACGAAAAACCCAAGTCTAATCCTTCCAAAACTTATTCCAAAGCTGAGTCAAACGAGAACTGGTTAATAGTTGTTGCCATCTTCTTTGTGCTTTCTCCAGCGTCGCGCAGCTTTGTCGCCACGCCCTCAAACCCCGTCCGCTTAGCATCGAGAAATTCAAAACACATCTCTGCGTTGTGATTGGCCCGCCAGTTCTAGGGACTGGCGCATTGATCGAGGCTAGACCACTCGCAGGAAAAATGATTTTGGTCGCTGGTGGGTGGGGCTAGTTTTCTAGGCTAATAAATTGACATAATCAGAACCGACCTATTCTTGGGATGGAACCAGTTCAGGTCCTGGTGGTAGAGGATCCTTTGCGTTAGAAAAAAGGAATCAAATCGAAGCCGGATACTTTAGTTTTTCTTAACTTTCAAATCCATGCCACATAATGTATTTTTTCTTTCATTTCAGCCTGGTCAAAACATGGATGTCTTTGTACCAGTTGCTTGCCACCCAGGTTACTTTGTGGTACAGCCTTGGCAAGACCTCCATAAGTTGGTGGTGTTGATGGGAGAAATGGCCCTTTACTACAACCAGAGCAGAAGTATAAGCAAGATGCCGCCCATCCAGAAAGGACACGTCTATGCTGCCAAATTTGACAAGAAGTAAGTCAATCTGAACCATAGATGGAGAAAAGGAGGGATTTTATAAAAGAAAAAAAACCCACTGATGATGGCTAAATGTTTTGTTGATGTCGTTTAGTTGGCACCGTGTTCAGGTGAAAGGAATTTTGACCAATGGGTTGGTTTCAATCTATGACTTGGACTACGGTAAACACGAGCTTGTCCCCCGCACTCTAATCCAGCCTCTGATAGAGGAATTCAGACAGCTGCCCTTCCAGGCTATTACTGCCCAACTAGCAGGTGAGTGATCTTTTTTAGTTAAAAAAATCTCATTAGTTAAGCCATTTTTTATTTTTAGGTACTTTAAACAAAGGAAGGATCTAGTGCTTGTATTGAAAGTGTGTTCTCTCTAATCATACAGGTGTGACGCAGCGTCAGTGGTCAGAGGAGGCCGCTGTGATGTTCAGGAGTCATGTAGAGAAACGAGCGCTGGTAGCACAGGTGGAGAGTGTGCAGGACGTGTCGGAGGCTGAAAGCGAGCTGTCAGAGCGCAGGCTGACACTTTACCTGGTGGACACTTCATTTGAGGAGGATGTGTGGATTCACAACCTCATGACTTACATTTCAGGATAAGATCTCCTGTGCTTTGTTTACTCTTAACTGTGTGATACTGTTTATACAATGTTAAAATTGTTTGCTTTCCTTGTAGCCTTGTTTTCACCAAATGTGAACTGCTGTTTCTTTCCAAAAAAAAAAAAAAAAGTTCAATAAAGTCTTGGCTAGTGTATTTCTGCCACAGCTACTCGCAGATGCTGCTCCGGGACTGCTTTACCTGCCTTAGAGGGCTTTAAATGCTCAATCTGGTCTGTTGGCAAAATCATGCCGAAAGTATCTGAAGTTGGTGTCAAAGGTAATCATGTTTTTTACCGGAGTAAAAGTAGAGATTTGTTTTTGTTTAAAAAAAAAAAAGTACAGGCTCTTAACTGTACTTGAGTACAAAAGTTTTGTGCCTCTAATGATAAAAAAAATCACTTCTAAAAACTATCCCTTAAAAAAATAATGCCTCGTTAATTATTACTGTTTCGCTCACTGTGTTGGTAGAGACAACATAAAAACCCAAATTTAAGACGGAATAAAAAAGATTGAACTGAAGTCCTGCCTAAGCAGTTGAATACTCTTTAGAGTTCTGGTATTCAAGACACAGAGTTGCAAACAGAAGGTAAAATAATCAAAATATAGTTAAACATAAACATGGTGAGTGAATGGAGAATCATCTTCATCCATGTCTCTATCAGTGTTTTTCTTTTATCAAACAGGACTGATCCTCTTTTCTCCTTATGTTCTGTTTTGTTGCATGAATAGAAAAAAATGGGGAAAAATTAAGGAGAAGAAAGTACAGATATTTGTGTTCCAATACAGGGATTAAAAGTAGAAAGTCCTCAGAAAAAAAAAGTAGATACTGAAAAAAAGCTGCAAAAATACGTTGAAATATATGTTTACTACTTGAAATCTATGGTCACTGCCTTTTATTATTTTAAAGTAGATATTAGGCTTCGACTGATTCTCAGCTTAAAATATTTGGGATTTATGCAACTAGGTTTTTAGTATAAAAGTAATTTTGTGCATGAGCAGGCAGTAGATTAGGTGACGCAAAGCAAAGCCCTGTCCGATAATGGAAGCAGCGCCTCTGTGACATCACTAGAGTGACAGGGCAGGCGCGTGTTGGGGGAGGAAGAGGAGGAGGATCATCTCTCCCTTGAGTTGACTTTGCCGTTTTAGGGAGATTAGATCCAGTTTTCCGCAAACCCACCAAGACCAGAGCAAAGACTGGAGAGGAGACGCCAGGAGCTGAAATCTGTACCATCAGTCGGCGGCTCATGGCCGGTTCCTTGTAGCGGAGCGGCTTTTTCTTATTTCGGGTTTGTGCGCTTGGCACCGTGCGCAGCTTTCTGTGACTCCAAAGGGAAACCATATCTGGTCAAAGTATTCGTAGCTGTCATCCAGCAGAGCCGACCGGCTATTAATAGCGGCGGAGGAGGTACGTAAATTAATGCAAAAGTTTCTGTCTGCTGGCGGTGAAGCAGTCAGATAAGAAAAGATGCTTTTCTAAAGGAATGGGGCTGATTTTGCATGTTGGACATGATTAAAGTAGCAGGTCTTCAAGAGAGCTGCTTGGAAATTAGTGGTAAAAGTAGGATAGTTATTTTTCGATTGAGAGGTTTGTTTTATATAGGAATAAACTTTATCTCTCCACAACAAATTGAATGAGCAGCCATGGTTTCCCTTTTTAATTTCTTTAATAGACTACAGAGGAAAATAAGTAACCTTTTACTTCCGACTCCTCTCATGTTGAGTTTTTTTTTATCTAAAGAATAATCATACTATTTGTATTTGAAAAGGAAACTAAGCACAGACACAGTGAAGTAAGGTAACCTTGATCATACTATGACCCTTTGGCCCCTGGGGAAAGCATTCAAGTCCATGGAGGCTCTAAGAGCTCATGACTGTCCCCAAAATGGACAAAACTTGTCAGAAAAAAAGTAGTTTATTTCTTTTGGTTTCATACAAAAGTTATGTGCTGATTTCTATTCCTTTTTAATGCCAGGTTTGTGTCTGAAGTGGATGCCTCAATGCAAAAGTTACAAAAGTTGTGTATCTAATGCATTTGTTATGACATGTGGCTGAAAAAAGCAGACCAGTTGTCCCTCAGCTGTTTTCTACAGAGTCATTTCAGAAATCTGTACTATTCAACAGCTGAAGTCATGGCTGTGCTTGCATATATAAAGTTGCTCCTTAATTATGTTAAATGAACATTTTGGTTGGTGAACTCTAGTTGTCCAGAACATTTAATGGTCTTTTTATATATATATATATATATATATATATATATATATATATATATATATATATATATATATATATATATATATATATATATATATATATATATATATTATTTTTTTTTTTTTTTTTTTTTTTTTTTCATCAGAAGGGATTGACATGAATCTCAGGATGTACTGAGCAAGTAAAAGTCTGTAATACTTTAATGTCTGACTGAGCAAAACAGTTCTTGAATCTTACTTATGGAATTGAACTGTTCTTTTCTGCTATTTAAAGATGATATAACAAAATTGGTTTATAACACTGTGTGTTACAGTCTGAATTTAATGGTGATCTTTTCTAAATAACAATAGAAAAAAATTATACGAATACAGTAGTTCTTTATTAATTAAACCTTCCTTAATATTTGCTCAAATGTGCCATTAAGTTGCAGAGAATCTGCACACATGTTAAATGTTTACTACAGAAACGCTTGATTCAAATTCAAGCAGATTTAGCAAATTTTCAGAATGGTTTTGGTCAGATACATTCTAGAAGCTGAAAGTCGTCATGCAAAACCATATATCCTTTGCTTTGGATCATTATTGCTTTGAAATACCCAAGGTTCAGCCAGCTGATATGTCACCTTCAAATTAAATGTAATTAGTTATAGGAAGAGAAGCTTCCCAGACTCTAGTCTGATGTCAGCTGGAAACTTCTCAAACATTTTAGTTCCGCAAAATATCTACTTTTAAATAAGCATGCACCGAGAGCTTCAAGAAGAGCTTCTGCTGTAAAATAAACACATTCAAGCTTAACTCAAATGCTTATGTAGACGCTCTGAAGACTTCTTGGAGCAACGCTTTGCCTAATGCAACAGCTACTTCTACAAAAAAAGAAATACAGAAATTATGTCTGGCAAAGTAAAAATTAGGCTTTCAGGCCTAAGAAATCATACTTTGTCGAGCACGATGCTAATATAAATCTCAGGGTTAGTGCATTTCACAAAGTGGGTTGATTTAAAGAACTGTTGTATCAAAAAAAATAGTTATTCAAATCTACAACTGCTTGGCTGAAATCTAAGTCCCTAATCCACCAAAAGTCCTATAATAACTGCAGCGCCGACCCAAGCCTACAGGGGCCTTAAATAAAATTTTATTTTGGGGCCCTTTATGTGTACTAATAATGTCCGTTACTGCAAACAACAGTCAGATGATCAGATCACTCACACACCTTCTATAAACCCATTGCAGCCTTGTATGCTTTACTGAGTTTGATCAAGATGTCATGTCATGTGGTTTATACTTTTTTTTAAAACTGCAATGTGTAAAATAACATGTAGTGCAAGAACATCAAATAACATCGCTTTGATTACTTAAAATAATTAAGAACCGTCATGTTCTTAAATAATTGAAAGAAAGTAAACTAAATAGAAGATGAAATAAAATGTAAAATTAAATGATTGGCTCTTAAACATACAAATATTTAAATAATAATATGAATCAAATGTCATTGATCGCACACTGAAGAAATTTGCCTCTGCATTTAACCCATCCATTTGGGGAGCAGTGGGCTGCCGTTGTGCGGCGCCCATGGAGCAGTGTGGGGTCAGGGGTCACTGCTCAGGAACCCAGAGTGGAGGCTGTGGGGATCAAACCGTGTACTTGCAACCTTCTCAGAGCACAAACACTCTGATCTAACCCCCTAGGCCACAGGTGTCAAAGTTGTACTAGTAAGGGCCGTGTGGCTGCAGGTTTTCCAACCAAACAATAAAACACCAGACTTAATTCATATCATCAAGTCACCATGTGCAGATTGGATTCCCTTGATGACATGACTAGAGTCTGGTGTGCTATTGCTTAGTTGAAAAGAAAACCTGCAGCCACACGGCCCTTTCTGGAACAGGTTTGAACAGAAACCAACTACTTTTACCCATATGAATTTGTTACATCTCACTATTCTTTGTCGATACAATATTCCTTATCTAAAGCCTGTTTGGAAAGTCACTGAAAGCATCACTGTAAGAAGTCTGACAGACAACTTTATTTATATAAATGACTGCCAGCCCACACAGCCATTTTCTTTCATGAGAGTGTTCAGATTGTTCTTAATTAATTTGAGTTTGAAAAAAACTCGGCAGATCCGGCAGTCTCAGGGAGGGTGCAGGCCATCCTCGGAGCTACGCAAAGATTTGGGTAGAACTGAGATCTCATTTTGAGGGAGGTAAGTGACTAAATTAGGTCATCCGTGCTTTAGGATCTATTCAAGGTTTCCATCTCTGAAGCCAATGTGCTCTCACCACTACCAGACTGTTCTCCAGATAAAAGCTTGCCTTTGGGAACTTTACACTTCCTCATCTGTGCGTCAATCTGGCCCTAAAACCTGTATATTTTCTTTTTTTTTTCATGTGTAAAAATTTTTTTCCCATATGTGTGTAAAAAAAGGCATATATTCATTGTTAAAGTTGGTTTTCTTTGCTATATTTGTAAGGAAATTCTTGCAAACTAACAAACAAACAAAAAATAAAAAACAAAACAAAACCCAAGAGGTGCTGTTAGGGACCCCTAATTGCCCTTGGGCCCTTAACTAGCCTATGCCCTGTCGCAGCTGATTGAAAATGTCAGGGATTATGTCTCCCAGTAATATTGATGCTTTCTGTTTCCATTGCTCTAAAGCAGGGGTTTCCATTTACTTTAATCTGTGACCCCAAACTAACTATGCAGCAAACTGTATGCTCTAAAATTACATAGAATAATTTTTTCCACATTTACATATAAAAATCTAAGTAATTCTATTAACTTGCAAATACCATTTTTAAAGCTACATTTCCTTATTTAATACATTTTAAATGTATTCTTTAATAATCTGATGGAAATGGTGCACTTTAAAATGTATTAGTATAATTATAAATAAAATAAATTAGTCAAATTCTAAATACGTATTAGTTAAATGTTACATCTACTTATTTCATCTTGCAACCGCCATTGCTGTCCCAACTCCTGCTTTGGGAAGCCCTGCACTGAAACGCAGTGGAAATGTGTATTAAAATAGGCGTACGTTCTATCAATAAGCTGCTCGACACCTCCTGTCCATCAGGTGGCTGTATGGAGGAACCAAAGTCGTAACCAGCTGCTTTGCCCCTCTGTGGTGCAGTGGTGCCTCCAGAAATGTTTCATAGGGGGGGCCAGACGGGGCCACTAAAAATCTTGGAGTGGCACACTGAACCTAAAAGTCATAATTTCAGGGTTTGAATCTACTATTGTGGTAAACCTGCCTGTAGAAAACATAAAGACTTAAGTAAACACCTACCGTACTCATATTTTGGTGTATTGTGTGATTTTTTATGTTACGTCACTGGCTGTGCATAATGGGATGAAATGATAAACTGATCCTACTACAGTTTACACTGGCCAGTGGGGTGGCCAGGGCATTGCCCAGGGTGGCCTTTGCCACTGCATTGGCGATGCACCGCTGTGGTGCAAACCACAACTGTAAAGCTTTGCTCCATTTAGTTTTTGTTAGCTTGATCCTTAAGGGACATGAGAGGCACTTGTTAAAGAGAAGTGAATTATTATTTTCCTCGTGCACGCTCTGTTTAAAAGTTGCTGTTCCCATAGCTCATACACGCTAACTGTGCCCGAACATCTGCCCTAACTCCTAAATCCCTCAATCACTTTATAGAGCAGTGACTATATAGTGGACTTTATAGTGAACTCAGTTAACTGACTATTCAGACAGATGATCACTTCCTCGTTGGTCCATTGTGTTGTTCCTGCGCCATCGTTGTAATTAGTTGCTGCTGTTGGGTCCCATAATGAAGTCCCATAATGCTTTGCGAGGAGAGATCTCTGTTCAAAGCATTCTGGGATATATCTGCCTCTTCTAACACTTTTCTTATCATACACTTCGTAGACCGTGGTGAAAAAGGTGAGCTTCAATAACTGTCTGAAACCGTAGCTCACCTTAGATATACGCCTGAAACAGTGCATGCACTGAAAAAATAGCCCAACAGGAAGTGCACGTAGGACAGCCTTAGTAAACACATCACCAGAATGATTGACAATTAGGACCACTTATTTAGTAGCCTGGGTGCCAGTCCGAACTTAGTCCCGCCCACAAGGTTTGAGTTCGGGGAAGTTCGGTCTGGCTCTGCTCCATAGTAGCGCGAGTATTAAAGCCCACTGTCAGGCGATCCAATCAAATTGTCAGGGCGGGCTT